TTAGTAATTTTTAACCAATTTATAGCCATCATCTCCTTCTTGTAACGTTGTAATGTATTTACGTATGCTTGTACTTGTCCTAATCTAAATGACATTATCGGTTGTAGTGTAGTGACTAAAATGGATTCATGGGTTTGTTTGCAGTGTTGAAATATTGGATGGTTCAGTTTGCGGTGTAAAATAGTTTATTTAAATGGCCATTTTTGGATTGAGAAATATGAGGTTTGTTGCCTGTAGTATGAACAATAGTCCTAGAAATCTGTTCCCTTCTGTACTGTAAAAGTTGTATTATGGAATAGCGTCATTTGATTTCAAGTTTCAACTGGTTTCTAGGTTATGTAAATGTTTTTTAGGTTCCACTGCCCCCGTGTTTGTTTGACTATAAAGTCTCTCTTTTGATGAAGAAATATTTTGAACCGCCCATCAATCTAAGATTAGACGAGTACAGATAACTATCTCGTTGAGGAACATATAGAACCATAATGTCGTTTTGAGGAATCTGCAGGAGTTGTGTGTACCGCGACATAGATTCACTCAACTTTAGAATTATTTGTTCTTGCTAACAGTTGCATACAACCATAGGAACTCAAATATTTGAACCTTAGCTTTAGGTTTTCGATGTTGTCATTTGTCATAATCTACGCATGAGATCTCAGGTAGATGATGTCCCTGAACAATCATGCCCAGCCCAACTTCTCACTTGTTGATCCCTCCTCTCACCTCTTATTAGCGACATGTTCCCAATTATCACTAGCATTGAGGGGATTCTTACATTAACTTCCAACAATTATCTCTGTATACAGCCAACTGCTATGATTAGCCATCTAATTAGGGGTGTTAAACCGTATCCGAGGAAACATCCGTAACCGTATCCATTAGGATACGGATATGGTTACTCAAATCTATAACCGATAGGATATAGTTACAGATATGATTTTGTAGTGAAATATCTGTATTCGTATCCGAAATATCCGAATACGTATTAGTCATACTCTTATGATAGTTTTAATTCTTAGATTATGGATTTTTGGTTAATTTTAATGATCAAGATGTTTAATCTTAACTTTTTAGTTATAATGAACATATCAATGAACTCTTGTGTATCACATGAACCATATTTTTCTCAATACCGTCTAGTTTTTTCATATCTGTTTTGTATCCGCATGCATATCCACATATATATCTGTATGTATATCCGTAACCGTATCCGATTTTAGCGGATATAGATATAAATTTTCCTTACCAAGGTATATCTGTATCCGTATCCGAGATGGGTAAGTGGATATGGATATGGTAAGCATCGTATCTGAGCCGTATCCGGACCGAATGCTCCCCTACATCTAATGCTTGATGAATAGTTAGGCACTGTTAAATAAGCATCCGTACCGTACATCTTCCATCACGTCATGCATAAACCATCCTCTTTGACAATTCGTCAAGAGCAATTTTCTCATCATCAGATACAAAGATTACATCACAAAGAGTACACGGGGTTGGAAGGAAATGATGTTTTCAAGTAACACTTCAGACAGAAATAAAAACGATTTTCATATAAAAGCCCTATTTTTATTCAACTGGAGTATGCATAAATGGTACTTATGAGTAGTCAAAACAAATTCTAATCATAGCCCACCAAATAAATGTGGCTCCACACTTTCTTCTATAAGAAAAAAGAACTTACTATCTTTGGGATCTGATGCTACACCGCTGCTCAATACTTTAGTAGCCAGTTTCTGGCGAAGTCTTGTTTCTTATCACAATTGTAGTAGTTACCGTCAAGTCACCTTGCTTCCCACTCTGGCTTGCTCTTCTGGTGTATGAACTTCTTGACTGCGTATCTGAGTCAGACTTTGCATATCGCTAGTTTCTCTTGCTTCTTTCCTTTTTGCTGAGCAATGCTTCATCTTCACTTCTTATTGAAACGCCAGCTATTTGTTTGGCTCATGCCAAATCTCCTACAACAATATTTTCTTCTTTTATGTACGCGTTCTTGCCATAATTTGAAATATGCATTTGATATAAACTGTTTCTTCCACATGCTCCATTCTTTTTGACCATTCGGGCCCCCCCTAACTACCTCTCAATAGTCAGCTCTCTTTGCTTGCAACTAGGGGTGCATTCGGTCCGTATACGGCTCGGATATGATGCTTACCATATCCATATCCGCTTACCCATCTCGGATACGGATACAGATATACATCAGTAAGGAAAATTCACATCCATATCCGCTAAAATCGGATACGATTACGGATATACATGCGGATATATAAGCGGACATGCATGCGGATACAAAATGAATATGAGAAAACTAGATAGTATTGAAAAAATATAGTTCATCAATTAAAGTGATATAAAAGAGTTCGTTAGTATGTTCATTATAACTAAAAAGCTAAAATTAGACATCTTGGTCATCAAAATTAACCACAAATCCATAATCTATGAATCTAAACTATGACTAATATGTATTCGAATATTTCGGATGTGGATACGGATATTTCACTACAAAATAATAGTCGTAACCATATCCCTCGGTTATAGATTTAAGTAACCATATCTGTATCCTAACGGATACGGTTACAGATATTTTCTTGGATACGGATACAGTTTAACACCTCTACTTGCAACAGTTATATCTTTTAGAAATGCATTTGCAGGCCTATGCTGCCAATTGAGCATAGAAAACCTCAAACTGCTGAACTTTAATTTCACTTCTCTACAAACTACTCACAACTTTGTCGCCACTTGCATTTGTTCCCAATACAAGCTATACGGGAGGAAACTTGGAAACTTGAGCAGTTCAGTGCCACTTATCACCTAGGCATTTTAAAATTGTCTCCATGTGGGTGAATTGTGTCCATGCCAACATGTCCATATCTGAATGCTAGGGTCTAAGCTACTGTTGTTTGTATGCACTGTTTGATTTATCATAGAATTAGTCAAACGGATCTTTATGAAAATTTAAATTCACGTTATTGTTGACTGGGCCCTACATCATAGCTTGTAACCTAGTTTACTGTACACGCCAAGGCATACAGGTGTTGCCTGTTAAAGGAGGGATTTAGTTCTTTATACAGTGGTTTAATAGGAAAGTTTAAAACTATGCCATGAAGAAATAATCTTCGCTTAGGGCCTTGGTTTCCTTAATCCTCTTTGATTTTTCTTATTTATAACGGGAAGGCTTCCCTAGCTGTTATGGATGCATAAGGTTTTTCCTTTTTCTGTTGCATCTGGCAAAATGATAAGAGGGAAAAGTAAACATCTATACTTTTTGATGGTTTCCTTAAGATCTTTTTCTATTATGTCGTGAAATCTTTCGCGTTGACTTAAAAATTAAAATAATATCCTTTTGATTTTCTGTTGAGGTTGAATAACGCTATATTATTTTACAAATGGCTCAACATATGACTTTAGACATCATCCATGGAATGGGGAAAAAATGGAAGAAAAAAAAGTTCCTCACTATTTCAAAGATGTAGGGTATACACATTACACAGAAATAATAATCTCCAAGCCATTCATTTTATTGAATGGAACAAGGTTCGTAACTACTGCAGTATGGCTGCATATTTTTTTCCTTGGAAAAATTAAGGAGGAAGAAAAAAGAAGGAAAAAAAGGGAGGGGAAAAAAGATTTATATCTCATGTTACTGTCAGCTATATCCAGGACTCAATAGTGTAGTTATAGTTGAAGGAATTGACGCCATTGATTTGTGAGAATATATCTGAGGAGTTTAGTATGTCGTCTTCTTCCTTGATTACCGCCACCTACACAAAAAAAAAATGCCAAGTTGCACTCAACTACTTTCTTACTGTGAATTAGCTCAGATTTTGACACATAAAGGAAATAAAGTGGAAAATTGTCTGCTTTGACAGATATTTGCTGAAAGAATGAATCAGTCAACTGAAGAACTTACTTCTCCCTCATCCAAATACTCGTGATTGCTGGAACTTGTTCTGGTCGATCCTTCTCCATGTTCATCATTCTTTGCAAATCTCCCTCGGACTCGAGGCCTGCTATCAGCCAAAGTTTTCCGACATGCATACTGTCATTTTATCCGTTGATCTTGCATGTTAGCGAATGATATCATGTGGATACATACATCTCGAAATTACAACAGATAAGTACAATGTCTCTATAAGGGCAAAAAATATTGGTCTCCTTTCATATAATTCACACGTGTGCTTGTGGTTCATGTTCTTTCTTCTTTTTTAGGACTGACGTTTCTTAACACACTACATGGGTATTATGTTTTGTTTACCTTTAATTGGGAAATCATGAAATGAGATAGTTAATTTATAGTTGTAAATTGTATTTGTTCTATTATAGTATTATCTAATCAAGACAGTGACTGACAGCTGCACATTTCAACTGCTGTTATAGTATCTACCTTATCCTGTGTGCACTGAGAGGCAAAAGCTACATTATGCTGTTGTTGTAAGTTAGTTCTTTGGTGATAGGATGAATATCATAGGTTTCCCTTTTTAAGAAAAACCATGAAAAAGATAAACATATTAACAAACTACTAGCAAATTTGAACTTCATTTGTATCACCTTGTTTGCATATGTTATATTTTATTTTACAGGATCCTCCTTTGAGAAATACAGTCGTGGCAATGGACCAATGGTGCACGTAAAACTATCATATGCAATATTGTTAAGGTTAAGCCACGGAAAATGTTTTCTGCTGTAAGTTGATGCAGAAGAATTTCTTTGTGGCTTTATGAATGATTTCTTAACATAAAATCTGACCTGTCAAACTATTTATGGTCATTTCCGTCACATTATTAGCTAACTTTTGGTCTATGAAGCACGGACACGCATAATATGAAGCCATGTCGTGTCGTGTCTGTGTCGGACACACGTGTCGAACACACGTATCCTATATATTTTTTAGGATTTGCCTCGTGTCGGTGTGTCGGATGGCCGTGTCGGATCCGTGTCCGTGCTACATACCTTTTGGTCATTATACATTATATACACTTTGTTATGGTGTTGTTTCCATGAGGACTTTGCTATTGATATTAGGTCTAGATAATTGGTTTTGACTCTTTAATTTACTGGGAATCTGGGATGATGATGCATTAAAATATTGGGCATGTTATTATTTTCCTTCTTTATGCTTTTTCTCTAACGTGTAATTGTTAATCTGCTATCCAGTTAATATTGAAGTAAGGATCAGATAATTAACTTCTCTTTATAGGAATGAGGAATTTCATATACTTACCTTGATCTTCTTGTTGAAATTTCGTTCGCTCCTCTTCTTCAAATACCTGTGGATCTTTTCCTTCCTCTCCTCAGGTGAAAGACGACCAACTTTCAATGTAGAATCATCCAACGGCGCAATGTCAGATGTGGACAATGTGGTGTGGTTGCTGTTGCATCCGTCTACCAGATTTTTGTAATCGCCTATTACCTTCGTTTAAAGAAAACAAATTCAGTGCATGTCTACTTTATTGCATTTTCTAGATTAGCTACCAAGTCTGATAACACGAATGATGGAAGATGCGCTAGATGAAGAATCATTATTCTAGGAGAAATATGTTTCCTTTTGTATATTAAAAAAATGCATATGTACTAATTTGTATGACAAGGTTATGACTAATTCAATTCCAAGTTAGGAGACTGGTTCATGGTGAATATTCATCCAGATACATTTATAAGGACGGAAATGCAATATTCAGTTAGGATGAGCAAGTGGATGCCTGCCAACCTAGCATGCGGCATGTTTTGTATGATTTTGCCCTTGGTGAACTGTTTACTTTTACTGGAATAGGTTTTTGGGTGAGGGTTGATAGATAATCATATGGGTGGTTTAGACCTTTTACCCTTCATGTTAATGCCGTTTAAAACAATTTCCAGTAGTTTGGGATGTCAGGGATTTTATCTAATTTATAAAGTTTAGTAAGGTCCTGTACAAAATATTCAAAGTTTAGGGAGTTTACCATTTTAGTCCTCTGTTTTAGTTTTCCATCATTACCTGCATATCAAGTGAATTGTACACCCTCTGAGTAGATTCCAGACCGTAGATGCTTCCAAATCCTCCACCTTCTGCTCCCATTCCAGCCTCTGCACCCGCCATTGTTCTCCCATGAAAGAGCCCCATCTGTCTATCTCCACCACTCATCGCTTGGTACCTATTGACTAATCCGGCATCCAAAAATGTACATGTAGGTAATGTGTTTAGTCCCTCATACCCTATCAATGGAGGCATCGACTGTATCTGTTGACTTGTCTCAGAGTCATAACATGGCCACGGTGTCCACCCTGATCTCATTTCTGTGTCCATATCCGGTGGTATGACCGAGTCAGGAGATCCCATAGGCCAGCCTGCACGCGTGTTCATCTCTGCAAGTATCAACTGACTGTGCTCCTCTTGGTTCTGGACACCATTGTTTATTGATGTTGCAGGTAATTGATAGGTAGCAGTTGTAGTAGTATTGACTGGCATTAAATCAGGTGGATCATTATCATCAAGGAGGCTGGAGATGGTGGCAGGGTCAAAATCGAAGAAGGCATCGTCGCTGATGAAGCACAGGCTTTCACTTTCACAGCTGGCAGCAGTTAACGGACCCTCACTTTCGNGCGGCGGCGGCGGCGGCGGTGGTGGTTGTGGTCATGGGAGAAGAAGCGACGGGGATAATGTTGTTGTTGCTGATAGTTGGACAGCATGAGGTATCCGAGGGGGTTATCTCATCAGCGAAGAAGTTTATGTCATCTTCAACCGGGAAATCGAGGATTTGGGAAGTGAGCGGATCGGAGATGCCCTCCTGTTTAAAATGTAAAAAGAGAGATAATATCGAAGGGGGGAGGACATATCCTTGTAACAAAAGCCAAAAGTGTGAAGATTCTATGTATAAAACTGTGCTGGGTTTTGATCAGTCTCGTCAACTGATCGGTTTGTTCCTCTTGATGCTTAATTATTTTGGATAGAAACTCTTATCAGAATATTTATCCATGCGATGACTCTCTAATTTGGTGGAGGCTTGAGATATCAACGTCATCGCGAAAAGCTAGACGATTGATCGACATCTAAGCCTTCAAATTGATGAGCATTAGAATACTTCTCGTCTATAAAGTTGTTCATAAAGCGTTGCTGATAGAATTTATATTCTAATTGTTGGTCACCGCGTGAAGGGAACATTGTAGAGTTATTGGTAAGCCTGAATAGGATTTAATTATTGGCAGAAAAGCATTTTCGTCTAAAGTTTTTAGAAAGGGACGTGTGTGTGTGTATATATATATATATATGAGGAATATGGGTATACTTGGGCCAAGGATCATTGGTAGTGATGTGGACACATCTTGTCCATACATCACACCTTGAAGTTGGTGAGGCTCCATCTTCAAGGTGTGATGTATGGACAAGATGTGTCCACATCACTACCAAGGATCATTGGTACCAAGTATACCCATTTTTCTCTCTTTCTCTCTCTCTCTCTCTCTCTCTCTCTCTCTCTATATATATATATATATATATATATATATATATATATATATATATATATGTGATAAAAGGGAAGAAATGCATGCATGCACGTCGCTGTACTGTGAGAATCAACCCCGGGGGTCAAAGTTTGCTTTTTGGAATTTGGAGGAGTTTTTTGGAAGCAGATTTTGAAATGACAGACCAATTAGAAGCTAAATGCGTAAAAAGTTCTTTTATATTCGGATGCTTATGGATAATGGAATTTCTGTCGTTTAAGACTATAAGCAACGATTTTTGTTCAAAATAAAGGAGAAAATATTTGAAATAGTCGACGGACAAAAAACTCATAAATATTTAAATTATATATGATATTTAAAAAAAAAACATTAAAAAAGACGAACGTGTAGACAAACAAACAAAAAAAAAATATAGCCTTAGCTCTGCATGAAAAAGAAATTTGATAATCAATGTGAACGCATGCATGCGTTTATTTTTGCTCGAATGATCATCGTTTGCTATATAAAAATCAGTTCAAAGCTAATGGAAAAAAAAAATGAAGAAATTTTTTCTAGAGTAGGAAGCTTACCATCATTTAGAGCTGTGCTCCCAATTCTCTTCTTCCTCCTTCAACCGATCCTGTGGGGAAAAGGAAAAGGAAAAAAGGAAAATGTTTTCTTCGTCCAATGAAGGGAAAAAAAAAAAAGAAAAAGGTTCGAGAGGAAAAAAATAAAATAAAATAAAGTTTATTTTAAGGGAGGAGAAAAACAGGCAACGGCTAGTATATATATAGAGAGCCGAATAACACGGAGGAATGCCAAAAACAGATATCTCTCGCGGCGGAAGAATAGAACGACAACTTAACGGCCGTCAACTT